CCTTCTCCAGGACAAACCTCTTTGTTCTCCTAGCAGTCCATGGTATGTTCAACACTCTTCTCCAGCACCACAGCCCAAAGGCATCAATTCTCTTTCTAACATCCCTATTCACTGTCCAACTCTTTGATGCATAGCACGTAATTGCGAAGATTATAGCCCGGATCAGGCCCACCTTAGTCTCCAGCCTGACGTCGTTGCTCTTCAGTACTCTTGAGAGGTCCCTCACAGCTGACTTTCCCAATGCAATTCTTCTCTTGATTTCCTGGCTGCTGTTACCAAGAGTGTTGATTGTGGAGCCAAGTAAACTAAAACTGTTAACTATCTCAATCTCTTCACAATCCATACTGATGCTTCCCATTGGCCCAGTGGTGAAAATCTTTCTTTTCTTGATGTTGAGCTTCAGTCCATATAGGAGGCTGCAGTCCTTGATCTTCTGCAGCAAACACTTCAGGTCCTCCTCAGTTTCAGCAAGCAGGGTTATGTCATCTGCATAACGCAGGTTGTTGATGATTCTTCCACCAATCCTGATGCCACATTCCTCTTTGTATAGCCCAGCATCTCAAATGATCTGTTCTGCATACAGATTGAAAAGGTATGGAGACAGAATACATCCCTGACGAACCCCCTTCTTGATTTTGAACCATGTAGAGTCTCCTTGCTCTGTTCTGATGACTGCCTCTTGGTCTAAGTACAGGTTTCGCATTAGCACAATGAAGTGTTCTGGGATTCCCATTCTTCTCAGAGTCAGCCACAGCTTGTTGTGATCCACACAGTCAAAAGCCTTTGCATAGTCAATGAAACACAGATAGACATTCTTCTGGTATTCCTTGCTTTCTGCCACGATCCATCTAACATTAGCTATAATACCCCTAGTACCACGACCTCTTCTAAATCCAGCCTACACATCTGGCAGTTCTCTGTTGACATATTGTTCCAGATGTTTTTGGATAATTTTCAGCAGAATCTTGCTTGCATGTGATATTAATGATGTTATTCGATAATTTCTGCACTCTGTTGGGTCACCTTTCTTTGGAATGGGAACAAATATCGATCTTTTCCAGTCAGTGGGCCAGCTGGCTTTTCTCCAGATTTCTTGGCACAACTTAATGAGCACATCCAGATTAGTGTCTGTCTGTTGAAATATGTCAATTGGTATACCATCAACTCCTGGAGCCTTGTTTTTTGCCAATTTCTTCGGAGCAATTTGAACTTCCTCCTTCATCACCATAGGCTCTTGCTCCTATGTCATTTCAGAAAATTCTGTGTCAGCCAATTCCTTCTGATACAGTGACTCTGTGTATTCCTTCCGTCTTCTCTTGATACTTCCTGGAGCATTTAACATTCTACCCAAAGTATACTTAAGTATTGCCACCCATGGCTTGAATTTGTTTTTCAGCTCCTTCAGCTTAAGAAACGCTGAGCGAGTTTGGCCCTTTTGATTTTCTAACTCCAGCTCTCTGCACATTTCATTATATTATCTTGCTTTGTCATCCCGGGCTGCCTTTTGAAGTTTTCTGTTTACCTCTTTGATTTCTTGGTTTCTTCCTTTAGCTTTGGCTTCTCAGAGCTCTAATGCAATATTCAGAGTCTCATCTAACATCCATCTTGGTCTTTTCTTCATTTTCAGCCTTTGTAATGATCTTTTGCATTCTAATTTCCATAATTAAAACTACTGAACCATATACAGGCACTTAAGACAAGCAAGATGCCCAGGCATGATGCCATCTCGAGTTATAAAGGGTGTGGGAGGGCACTAGAGAGCAACCCTTCATCCTATTGGTAGTTATCTACAGCAGTGTTGTGGTCCTGATTCCCAGCTTAAAGACTTCTTCCCACAGAGGTTCTGGGTTAAAACTTAATTGAAGTCTGAGTGAACTATAATAAAATGTGCTGTTATTTTTGTTATGTGCCATCAAGTCAGAAACCGACTCATATCTCACCCTCCAGTGGATTTTTAGAGGGTATAAGTAGTATGGGCCGAGACTGTCCATCTTTCTTCCACAGAGCAGCTGGTGAATTCGAACAGTGTGCTTTTGGGTTGGCAGTGAAGCTCCTCACTACTAGATCACCAGAGCTCTATAAATAAAATACGTACATCTTACATTTTCAATCCAGTGAGTTTTGACAAATGCATACATTTGTGTAATTCAGCCCAAACAAGGCACAGAATACCTTTCATCCTGTACACTCCATTTTGCCCTTTTCAGGAAATTTCTCCTTCACTCATGCCCAAAGTAAGCTTTTTTTAAAAAAAATGTTATGAATTTATGAATTATTGTGACTTTCCCTTGAACTTCAATTACATCTAATCACATGAGGTAATACTTTGTGTCTGGCTTCCTTTATTGAACAAAATGTTGAAGAGTATTATGTTATGTGAATACCTTCCATTGTAGGGGCCGTGCTATAGTTCACCCATCCATTATCTTGAGGTTCTTTGTTTCCAATTGTTGCTATTTATGAATAATACTCTGAACATTCTCATACAAATCTTGTGGCTAACTGCTTAAAGTAATCTTGGATGGAATAAGGACTGGAACTGCTAACTATAGAGTGGTTTCACATTCAATTTTATTATTGCTGTTGTGTCCTATCCATTCAGAACTGACCTACAGTAGACCCTCCAACAGGTTTTCAGAGCCAGTAACTTGCATTGGAGGAGGCTGTCTATCCTTCTCCCATGCAGCAGCCAGTGGATTCTAACCAATGTTTAATAGTAGAAGTACCTTGCTTTTTCAAAATGTATTTTATTACACAAGGAATTTTAGAGAGGTTAAGTCTGAATTGTTTACTGCATTAAATTAGAAAACAGAATGAATTTGAAAAGAAGTCATTGTGCAATGTTTATCTCTTCCATGCTCAAAACCTTATTGCCACCAACTCGGAACTGACTCATAGCTGACCAGCCATTAGGTTTCTAAGGTGGTAAATCCCATGAAGAGATTACCAGTCTTTTTCCTTTGGAGCAAGTGACGGATTCAAACCACCAGAGAAGCATGGCCTTTGTGTTAGCAGCACAACTCCCTATAGTCTATGCCACAGAGCTCCCATTCAGTTGATTTTACCTCATTTGTTTCTGATGTATAGGTCTATTGTATGGACCAACCTACTGATGTTATGTTAGAGCTGAGTGCGGGATCTTGTGTCCAGTGGAGCCAAACTCAGAGAGCACAAGGTTCAATGAATCCCACAGTATTATCCTTCCACCATCCTTTCCTTTTCCACAAGTGGGAAAAGATCATTCTGAAAGACATTTTCTATTTTATTTCTGGTACTTTTATATTACTATCTTGGATGGTCAATTAAAAAGTTCAGTTGAAAAAGCTGTCTGATATTTATAGATAAATATTTTTTAAACCCCTGGACATGTTTTACTACTATTTAACATTAATTTATTTAGACTTTGAATGATTTAATATCTCATTTTATTTTTCTTTCTTAAATTCATCAAGTCCAATCACTTAATAAGATTTTATTCTATTTCCTATTCAATTTTAATAAGTGCAGAAAAATAAATCTGATTAAAGAGTAGTTCCATGTTTCTTATTAAACTGTTGAATTAGGAATGAAGGTTGAGAGAATGAAAAATAGAGCTGACTTTCCCTGCCTGTAATTTCCACAGGAAAAAGGGATGTCATGTACTAACTAGGCACACAGAAAATGTTAATATGAGAAAATCATTCCACTCTGTTTGAGCGAAGTCAGGAGTCCTCTAGTCTCCTGTGAATCAGTACTGAAAAACTGTACGCTGTTATTTTATCAGTGTAAGCGTTCCTTGATTGTGTGAAGAAATTTAATAAAGCGCTAGTGGAGCCTATATTTAAAAAGTTTTCAAAACACATTATTTTAGACCTATGACTTCAGGAACATTTACATTTTATTTTAATTAAGGAAATGAGGATCATTCAAGGTATTTCTCAACTGCAGGTGTGCGGCCTAGCCATCAGCAACAACGTTTGGATGATGACGGTCAAGGACAGCCTCACACACTAGCATCTCGCTTTTATGACTGTTCCCAAATAACTTGTGCAGGACCGCTTATTGTTGAAATCCCAGCAGCTCTGATGTTGTTATACTAGCCAGGAACTATGAAGACAGAGCCCAAAAATGTCATCCCCAAAGTTTCCTGATAATGTTTTGTTGTAATCGAGACATTCAGTAAGATAAAGGGAAGCTGTATATGGTGGCAAGCAATTCCTCTTTTGGAGAGGAGACAGTATCATACATAGTAAAAGTGGAAACAAGAAAAAATAAAAACTTTCCAAAGTACTTACTGAAAAGAGAATACTCATTGTCACTGAGTTGGAACCAACTCATAATTGACCCTCCAGAGAGTTTTTGAAGCTTTCACTTGCATGGGAGGAGGGTATCCATTATTCTCTTTTGTAGCTGCTGTTAGAAACTTTGGTAGACCAACTTGGCATCAGTATATTCAAGAGGACGCAGGACAGGAACCATTGTCTGTGAATAGTCAGCATCTTCTTTGTCCCCTTATCTCCCCATTTCCCTAACCTCAAAGGGGTTATGGTGGGAATGGTCAGAATTCACGTGGCATCAGTGCAGAAGCTAGCTTGCCTTAAAAGCCTCATACTCACAGGAACCAGTACTTCTTTTATCAACCCCATAGAGACAGTTTGCAGGATCCCCACAAACGATGTTTATATACAAGTGTCACACCACTCAGGCAAGTCAAAACATTGTACTTTACAATCAGGTATTTATAATTCTATAGTTCAAATGCAATCTACCAATGAAGGGTCATGTTCACTATAAGCAGTGTTGCCTGACAACATAGATATCACCGACCACCTTGTTACCAAGGGAACAGAGCTAGAAAGTTACCCAAAGTCCAAATTCTCTTGTATAAGGGGAAAGGGTGATGGTAACCCTTTCCCCACATCTGGTCTCAGCCACAGACAATGAAATAAAATGGAATTTATCATTTTGGATGTAAATGTGGTATAATCATTCTCTCTTGTGATGTCTCCTCCCATCCTCAGAACTAATGTACACAGTTGAACTTGCTGGCGGGCTGGGTGCTATCCTCCTGTTGCTTGTTTGCTTGGTGACCATCTACAAGTGTTACAAGATAGAAATCATGCTCTTCTATAGGAATCATTTTGGAGCTGAGGAGCTGGATGGAGGTAAGTTAGGCCCCTTATTTCTTTATTTTTAGATTTTGTTTTTCCGGCGTTGTTCTCGTCATTCTTTGCCTTCTCTTCCTGAGGGCGGGGAGAGCAAAATTGTCTGTTTAACTATTGACAGCATCCACTTTTCACTGTGTCAGTTTCGCCCTTTTGTGTGGAATGATAAAGGGGCACTTACCCCTTTTAAAATTGTATTCCAAACAGCATGTATGAATTGCAAACACTGATTGCAATGCCATAAGAGTGTGCTTTCTCTGTCACCTTGTAATCAGTACTGAAAGGCCAGCTTTATTTCTCTATAGGCAAGGAGCATCTCATTTGTGTTCCAGAGCTCAGGAGTTTGAAGTGAATCTCAATTTGTTCCTCTTTGAGACCCATCAGTTTCAGTCAAAGCTCCTGAATATTTCAGAATTCACCCAGCATTTCTGGGTTTATTTGGGTTTTTAAGCTAATTTTAAATAGATTAATTTCTATTCCAAGTGTGGACCAACAGAGGAAAGTGTACAAGCATACAGCTTTCATACATAATAACACATCTAATAGTTTTACTCAAAGTGGATTATATTGATCCCTAGAAATCACAATTACCATTTGCTTCTAGGCAGTTATGAATGTGTGCATAGTCTAAGAGATATTTTAGCGTCTCAACTGCTTTTTGTTTTGTTTCGTTTTAGCAATTTGCAATATAGGAAGAAAATGCAAACTGACAATAAATAGTGCACACAATAGAAGTCTCTCAGCCAGCATATCAGCTCTCAGTTTGGCATTAACTATCTGCTGCCTTCAGTCAATACAGAGTCAAGGCAGCTTGCCACTGTGAGTTTCAGACACTGTAAAACTCAAATGGGAGGAGGCTGCCCACGTTTTCTCAAAAGACGATGGTGGATTTGAACCAAACACTTGCCAGTTCGGAGTACTACATGCTATGCAATTAGCCACCAGATCTCCTTGTGCACTAAGTTGTACACAGCTGACCCTCTGGTGGGTTTTCCAAAGCAGTAAATCCCATGGAAGGAGACTGCCCATCCTACTTTCCCCAGGCAGCTGGTGAATTAGAACCTTTGTTTTGGCAACGCAATTTCTTACCACTAAGCTATCAGAGAAAATTAAGCAATTGTCCATATTGGCCACATAACCAAGGGTGTTGTGCAAGAAATTCACAGGCAAAACTATAAATTAACACATGTTATGGATAAAAGTATATATTTTAACCACAATAAAGGAGTTCAATGTTGATTAACTCTATAAAATATAATGAAGGGAAATGATTGTATGAAACATAATGCAAATGAAGGACAGTGTGTAAACACAATGCCTATGAACTTTGTAAGCAAACCAATATAAAATAAAAATGTATTTTTTATAAAAAGAAGAAATACTAAAAAAACCCCAAACCAAACCAAATTATAAGCTGGCAGACTTGTGAAAAGAGACAGTTTCTTAAGCCTCATTAACACTCTCCTAGGTTCACCCCTTGCTCCTTCCCATTGAGTGAAGTCTGAGCGGAAGTTACACAGCTTGTTTTATTAAGTGCTCATTTGCTTAGTCTTTGTTTCTAACTTCCCTGTCTATTCATACAAATTATTAATTTCTACTGCTTCAAAGAGATAAGAGAAGTTTATTAATAACAGGGCTACTGTTGGATGATTGCCAAACAGTGTGCTGGATGTTCTAGAAACCATTCTCACTAAACCTCACAGAAGTTCTGAGGTCAGTATTGTAATCTCCATTTTCCTGATAAGGCAGTTGATGCTTCTAGAGGCTAAACAAAATATAAAAGAAGAAAATATATGTAGTACTGTTAGTAGTCAAAGTGGGATTTGCATTTAGGTCTATTTTTTAAATCTTTATTTCATCAACACTAAGTCTTTACTATTTTTTTAAACTTTTACTTTTACTTTTATTTATTTCTTTTACTCTTTTAAATATTTAGTATTGTCAGTATAATCTAGAGATTTGCTGCTGTTTGCACAATTAGCACAGAGGAGATTATAAGAAAATAATAGATTAGCTAAACAAGTTTTACTATTTACCTAACACTGCTTGGAATAGATTTGTGTTCTTCATAACATGAAGACTTTTATGCAAGCCATCAATTGCCAAGGTAGTTTTTAATGTATCATTTACTAAATGTTAAGAAATACTAGAAAAAAAGTAAAAACGTATGACTCACGTGCAGTTCAAAGTTCAGTGAGTGTGTCTCCTGAGGTCCTGCTAACACTTCAGTGAGTTACATGGGGTAGCTTTACTGGATTTCATTGCAATTCTCAAGCTGCTGGGTGTACAGTTGATCAAAACTGATTAAAGTAATAAAATAAAGAAGCTGCACTGCAATCTCAAAGGCACGTGGTTCGAGGCCACCAGCTGCTCTGCGGGAGAAGGATGAGCATACCCCTGCCATATGATTAACTGCCTCTGAAAACCTGCTGGAAGGTCAGCTACGGGTTGGTTCCTACTCTGTGGTACACAACAAGAAGAAGAAAATAAAACAAGGACTAAAACACACTCTTCTGACCATTGAGATCCTCTAAGAAAGCCAATTTAGTTAATAAACACCTCTGGAATGGTTAGATCTTTGTCCCAAAGGCCATCTTGAGCACAGTGAGGGATTTAAAGACTTTCCTTCAGATGCCACTGAGAATGCATAAGGTTTACTGAAAATCAAGAAGACATTTGCCATTGTTATGATTGGATTCTTTTTTTCCCCTGCACTGTTGTAGTTTTCTACAGATTTCAAAGATTAGACTTTTATTAGATACGTTTGTGGATAATTTCCTTAACTTCCTAAGTCTAATTATAGAAAATTCTAGATATTATAGAAAATTCTAGATAACTGTGTATGTACCGTCAAGTCAGATCTGACTGGTACTGGAGGAGATGGCCCCTCCTTCTCCAGCAGAGCATCTGAGGCCTCAAACGGTGCACCTCTGGGATTGCAGTGCAGTTTCCTGCCACTAGGCCACCAGACATCCTTTATGCAATGGTTTCTTGAACGTAAATCTTAATAAACTACCTTTCAGCTAAGCTTGTCCATCCCACAAGCTGTTTTGTAAACCGTGTACAGTTTCTTTTGCTCTAGTGGCCCAGTGGTAAGGAGTTGCAGTGCCAAGCCAGGTACATGATTTGGACTCATCAGCTGCTCCAAAGGAGCAAAATGGGCAGTCAACTCCCCTGTGATCTACAGCCTCTGAAAACCTGCTCAAGGGTCAGCTATGAGCCTGTTCTGACCTCACAGCACACAACAGTAAGAATAAAAATTGGATATTACTTCCCAGTCTGCTTCACATATAGTAGTTGTCCTCAAATGGTCATTTTCCCCCCTACAAATTCTTGTACTTCTGCTTTTGTTCCATGGAAGGGGGATTACTCTCTTAGATTTGTAGTTGTTTTTTTTTTTTTAATTCCACAACACATTTGTAATATTTAAAACTTACTGTCATCAAAATCACCTCAATTTTCCTTTATAAAGCAAATGAAACTTTAAAGGTCACTATCAGATACTAATATTCAGCAAAATGGGCAATTACTTCAGCCTGGTAAGGCAATTTTTGTGCTCCTATGAACATCTGATTTGAAATTCAGGAAACCGAGGTGTCTGGAAACAATTAAAATAATAATAAAGAAAAACTAATTAGAATAGTAAGACTCCAACTATATGATATGTCTATAAAGGCAGCCACAGCAAGTGCTTTCTGGTGGCCTACTGGTAAGAAGCTGCAATCCTGAAGGCGCACAGTTTGAATCCCACCAGCTCCTCCTTGGGAGAATGGGCAGTCTCCTCTCGTGTAATTAACTGCCTCTGAAAACCTGCCAGAGGATCAGCTATGGATCAGTTTCAACTTGACAGTACACCACCACCACCACTACCCCCACAACAACAACAACTTCTCAATTGCTTGTCATGCATCTGAGAGAAAAACACTGAATAAGGAAGAGAGAAGCAGCAGGAATGCCTTTGAGCTGTGGTGCTGGAGAAGAGTATTCAATATACCACATGGACTGCCAAGAGAACAAACAGGTCTATCCTAGAGAGGGTAAAACAAGGTTGCTCCTTGGAGGCAGGGATTTTGAAACATCAGCTCAAGGGAAGATGACCCTGGATGAGATGGATTCACACAGTGACTGTGGCCATGGAGGCAGATGTGTTGGAGATGGTGAAGTTGGCTCTGGAAAGGGCAGGGTTCTTACCAGTGGACCAACAGACAACATCATGATGGATGGAGAGGAGATTGAAACTGTCAACAGCTTCATCTTGCTTGGATCCACAATTAATATCTTTGGTACCAATAGTCAGGAAACAAGGAGACGCATTGCACTGGAAAAATCTGCAGTTAGGAACCTCCCCAAATTATTGAGGAGTAATGATGTAGGTTTTAGGACTAAGGTGAGTCTGATTCAGGCCATGGTCTTTCCAATTACTTGCTATGCATCTGAGAGCAGGACAATGAATAAGGATGACAGGAAAAGAACTGACGCTTTTGAGCTGTGATGTTGGAGAAGAGCTCTGAACATCCCAAGGTCAGCCACAAGAGAGGTTCCTTTGGAGAGGGTACAGCCAGAGTGCTCTTTTGCAGAAGAACGATGAGGCTTTGCCTTATATACTTTGGACATGTTGCTAGGAGGTGCTATTCCTTGGAGAAGGACATGATGCTGGGAAAGGTAGACAGTTGGTGAAACAGAAAGACACTCAACAAGGTGGATTGACACGGTGACTGCTGCAATGGCCTCTAGTGTGTCAGGAAGTGTGAGGATGGCACAGGATAAAACAGGGTTTAGATCTTGGCGAGCTCTGGTTGCCTAGTGGCAAGAAGCTGCACTGCAATCCTAGAAGTACATGGTTCAAATCCACCAGATGCTCTGCTGGAGAAGGAGGAAAAATCTCCTCCTGTACCAGTCAGATCTGATTTGACGGTACACACACAAAAAAACAATAAAAATAAAATAAAATAAAAAAAAACAAACAGGTTTCAGATCTTTTGTTCATAGGGCTAATATGA